CCCTAATTTTAAAAATCCTTACCATAAAATTTGAGATAAAATTTTATAAACTGAAATATCACGTGTCGAAATAAATTATACATTTGTTTCCCGGTTTTAATGAAAAACATTTAATTAATTAATTATTTATTAAAAGTTTGTCAAAATATTTAGACAATATTTGGATTGAAAGTATTTACAAGATTTTGAGCACTTCAACTTACTGAATAAGTTGGAAGCATGATTACACCGTATATCTTAAATGGTAGATCTGTTTAACACAACATAAAGTTCAATATTAGTTGGATTCACGAAATTTAAACAATGTTATACTACATGCGTATATGTCTAGACACCAAAATGCATTCGGTTGAGAAATTCAAAAATTCTGCAACGTTTTTATCGGTACAGAATGGTTGGTATGTAATAAAAAGTGATCAATTATTTAGATCTTCGATAACCTTCTAAATAACTCGTTTTGTTTTCTATGACATAGATAAACGTAGTAATTTACACATTATTTTAGCATTTATAATATATACAAGTATTCCAAATGCCGGTAAAAAACTGGAAAAGAAAAGTTTTTGAAGCATTTAAACTCTTTTCGCATTCAAATAGAGGTAAAATATTAATAACAAATAGATATATAGAGAAATAAATATGTAAATACCACCAATTCAAACTTTACCATGTTCTTTTGTACGCAGATAACCCAATTGATGATAAAGGTTGTTGGTCATCTTCGGAATCCGACAGTAGCCGCCTATCGGTAATCAGCAGTCGTCCATCGGTAAGCCGCCTATCGGTTGCCAGCAGTCGCCTATCAGTTGCCAGCAGTCGCCTATCAGTCGCCAGCAACCGCCTATCAGTTGCAAGCAGTCGTCTATCGGTTGTTAGTAGCAGATCTCGACGTAGTAGTTTCAGTAGATCAATACATGAAGCTTATGGGCCATGTTCTTTCTGGGAATGGATTCCATATGAAGGATTTTCGGATGTTCAGTATTTATCAAAAGGCGAATTCGGAACAATGTTTGTTGCAACTTGGGTGAATGGGCCTAGAGATTTGTGGGACGATGACTTAAAACAGTATGTCAGAAGAAAACATTATAAAGTTGCACTTAAAAGACTTGACAAAGATATTATTAACTTAGAGTTCGTTAACGAGGTATATACATATGCAAAATAATATATATATTTTTTTTTTAAAGAAAATAATACTTATTAAATTCTTCTTTTAATAAAGCTACGGTTATATTATTGTAGAAATAAAACGCGTTGCGATTGTGCAATTCGAATATATGGGATTTCACGTGAACCGGAGACAAATAACTATATTATAGTTATGCCTTATTACCATAAGGGAGACCTTAGAACAATTTTACGAGGAAAAAAAACAAGACTCACATGGCAAGAAAAATTTCTAATATTACGTAGCCTTTCAGATGCATTAAAAGAGATTCATTCAAAAGGACACACGCATAGTAATTTACATCCTGGTAACATATTTCAAGTGTCACAAGGTCCAAGTATACGTATTATTGTCGGAGATTTCGGAATGAATAAGTCAACATGTAGAGATCCAACATCTTTAGAACCTTACGGTGTTGTGCCTTATGTGGCACCGGAGATTTTACGTAGTTGGCCATATACTCAAGCCTCGGACATATATAGTTTTGGCATGATAATGTGGGAATTGTCGTCGGGTAAACCTCCGTTTTGGGACAGGGCACATGATGAACATTTGGTGTTTGATGTCTGCGAAGGATTACGACCAAATGTTGTGGATGAAACACCAGAATGTTATGTTGAATTGATGCAAAAATGTTGGAGTGATGAACCTTCGAATCGTCCTAGAGCCCATGAAATTTTTCAAACCATTCAATTATGGGATAATTCACTATTTAGATCTATAGACGAAAAGCTGTCAAGCAATTCAAAAAGTTCCGATGGAGAAGTCAAGGTTCATCCTGAGGCTATATACACGAGTAGGCCACTTAGTGGAATCATCACACAAGGATATGGACTTGAGTTTACACTTCCTCAGGATAATTCACGCAAATCTATTCATCTTGAAAGTAAGCATATTATTAAATATATAGTTATAAGAACTATTTTTTTTTTTCAGCAATTGGATTTGACAAATTGATATATTATTTTTCAATATAGATTCTGAGACTCAAGATAAAGACAAAATTAGGGAGACGATCTCGAAAAAGAGACGTAGTGACTTGGTTCTTAAACCAACTGCCGCACAGCGTATTTCGGTCTCAAATGATATCCCAACTATTAAGGTACATAAATATGATTCAGAACCTTCAGACGAAGAGGAGGATTAAAATGATTAAATATTTATTAGCGTTAGTAATTTTAAATGATATTATAAATTTATTATTATTAAGTTTATGCAGTCTAATTTATTTACATGAATGATGTTTATAAAAGTTACATAAATGAGATTGTCTAGCAACTCTGAAAGTCTACGCAGAATCTACAATTTATTATTAACTATATATATACGTTGTTTTTTTGATTACTGTGGGTGGCGTTGTACGTACAATAATTCCATGCAACTAAAATAATTTGAGTTATTACTCAATCATTAGAAAATTTACTGTGTGAAATGTGGACTTTATATTTTAGCCAATCAAATTATCAAATTAACTTTATTAAAAAATGAATGCCTGCAGCTCACGATTTTTCGGGATTAGTTAATTTATAAGAGGAATACTTTATGCCTAATATCAATTAAATCAAGTTGCTATATAGTAAAATTTGGAGTTATTAACATTTCCTCTAAGATAAAAAGACTGTATATAAATAGAAAAATATACGAGTGTACAGTAGAAGGCTAGGAAAAAATAGACGAGTGTAAAGGAGTATGCGTGTGGGAAGTTAAAGAGTTACCGACAGGCAATTTAACCGAAATCACTAACAATATATAACTGCAATTAATAACCTGCTAAATTATCACGATGTGTGATGTAGGTTGGGAAAATGGCCATCGGGAAATTGGGAGACATTATTTTAGAGTACTTTATGAAAACGTTTCACTAAAAAAAAAAAAAATCGCTATGAAAACATTTCTGGCTTTAAACATAGAATTTTTACTGTCGGCCCTCTCAAAATTGGTATGCATGGTGGGAGGTTATCGAATCGAATTTGAAAATATCACATGATCATATGATCGACAGAATGGTAAGAATTAGATGACACATCTGAAATTCAAATCAATGATACATAAGCCCATGATTTAATGAAATGTGTGCCAGGTTTGTGGCGCAGATTTAAACAAACTCCTTTAATGCTCTAACAAAAAATTTTCCTTGAGCGATTTTGCTATATTTTATCTGCTAACATCTAACCATAATATATACTCTAACATCAATGAACTTTAGTGAATTTTCATGATTGATTGGCTGTGTCTCATGTGACTATAATCACTGTATCAGAAACAAATAAATTGACTATCGGATATCAGAAATGATAGGTTATCGGATATTACTTAATTTTAACGTTTATTATTATGGCAGGTTATCGGTTTTGACAGGATCGGGTTTTGGGAGGGCTGACAGTACTATTAAAATTAATCCACAATCCAAAGAGCTTCACTTAGAAGTGAATTTATTGCTAGAATATTAATCCAAAATAATTCACAATCCAAAGAGCTTCACTTAGAAGTGAATATTTTACTATTTATTGCTAGAACATTAATCCAAAATAATCCACAATCCAAAGAGCTTCACTTAGAAGTGAATATTTTACTATTTATTGCTAGAACTAGTTATATTACGGGCTAATTTGACAAGTAAGAAAAATATTGTAAGGCAATTTGCCAGAGGCGTGACCAGTGTCTAAAATTAATGTGCGGAAGGGCGGAGTGCACGAAAATTAAAAAAATGTGCGCTTTGCGCACATTAAAATTATATATATATATTTTAAACTGAATTATACTGTATATTTTATTTGTGCTATTTGTTTTATTGCCACATTTAAAATT